GAGGGCAGTGTCCAGGACTCAGCTGGATGAATAAGCTGTGTAGTAAGATACAGTGGATAGTTCACTGCATTTTTGTAATTTTTCTTTTCTTGAATGAACCCCATAATTATAGGTCTAATGTAGACCTGAAAAGAGAGGGATATTAATTAAGATCTAGAACTTTTATGTGTGGAAAAGACTTTAAGGTCTCACCTAGTTCATTCTCTTGATTTGAAGCAGGATCAGGTGCTGAAAGTGGTGTTGAATGATTTTGGATTAAGCTGCTATTTGATTAAACTCATGTTAAAACCCTGTAATGGCAAATATTCAGCATATCCTCAGCACCTTCTTTTAATGTTTAGCTGGAAATCTTTCTTCAATATCCAGCTGAAGCTTCCCACAACTGATATCCACACACTTCTGTCTAGTTTCTTGTTACACTGATTAGTACTAGGAGGAAATAAGGAGTAATTAATTAATGACACTTTATAGTGTGCATAGAGATTTGTACACAGGTTTTATGTACAAAGCGAGACTTTTTCACCAGAGAATAAGAACTAAAAAGCCTATTTGCCCCATATTTAACAGGCTATGTTTTTTTTAGGGCATCAGTGATGTACAGGTTTGTTTAAGGGATAGATGTAGTGCTGCAGATGGAAATCTGAGTAAGCTGGGGAAGCTGGAACTCCTCAGATCTGTCCTGAGTGCCTGGCAGGGTAGGTAAGTGTGCTCAGTGCCAGGGCCAGCTCCTTTGACTGTGCAGCTGCTACTGGAGCCTGCTGTGGGCAGCTCAAGTACTGTAAATTTTGGTTATTTGCATCAGCTCCTCCCCAGAAGCCACATGAGTTTAAGGAAGCAAAGATTCCCAGTGAGGGGCACTGTAAGAGTGGCTGGGAATGCAATGCAATCTCATTCGATATTCCCTAGTCAGCCCAGTCCAGGAGACAGCATCATTCTGATAAAGTTCCTAACTTCTGATTAGGGATTTTATCTAAGGCTACAGTTCTCTTCGACTCTCGAAACAATTGGCTTCCGTTTCATCCCTGTTGGTCCTGAGGCCAAATAATCTTCAGTGTTCTCTGTCCTCGTGATCGCTTCATCTCCTTCCACCCACTCCTAATGTCACTCCTGCATATCAGTACTTCTCAGAGCCTTTTCATTTTCTTTCCTTCTCTTTGCTATTAACCTCATCAAATGGTCTTGTTTCTGTGGTAGAACTGGGAATTGGAAGCATCAATGGTTTTGGATGAGGTACGGTAAGAGAACAGTTTTCCACTTTCAAACAACTTTGCTTCTGCCCTTGTCGGAAAAAGTTGCAGGATTTCATAAAACAAGATCAACAGATGAGCAAAATATAAAAGGTCTAAACCTGCTAAATTCCTAGTTGCAAGGGAATGTAGATTCAAGTGCTTCTCCTGATTCCACGTGTCAAGTCTGCCTGTGGTCTTTGAACCTCTCCAGTGCACACAGATGGCAGCGAGACAGGAATCGCCAGGTTTGTGAACGTTGAGCAGCGAGGTGGGAGAAGTGAACTCCCAGCCAGGGTCCTCCTCCTTTTGAAGTACAACACAATGTGTCCTTTTCTTGAAAGGGACCTGTAGTGTTTGGCTGGGTGATGCTACAGCTCTGAACGATGACATTTGGGTTTAAGGGATGACTTTATTACAGTTTCGTTCAGGTTTTTTAATTTTTTTTTTCCAATTTTTACTCCTGACACAATTTCCCAGAGAGCGATGCCAAATGTTTCCAGTTGTAACCTATTAATGTATTATTAATAGATTATTATTAGATCACCAGCAGTTTTTGACTATGAGAAGAACATATTTATTCATAGAATCATGGAATAGTTTGGGTTGGAAGTGACCTTTATAGTCATATAGTTCCAACCCCCTACAGTGGGCAGGGATGCCACCAGTACAAGAAGTTATTTTCAAATACCCTGCTTAATTTTTAAAATTTATTTATTTATTTAAATTATTATTATTATACGGTTTGTTTTTTTTTTCCAAGGGAATAAAAGAATAAGTGAAATTGTAATTCATAAAGGCTGTGATCTATGCAGTGTATAGAGATATATAGTGTATGTATCTATCCAGTGATTACTATAGAGAATTTCAACTTCCCACATTTGTGGTGACAGGAAAATTTTGCTTTTTTGTTGGTTGATAGCTTTAGGAGATTGCAGTGAGTCTGTTAAAACACCTGTCATGTCACCAACATAAACTGCAACGGGTGGTTTTTCACCAGGGAGGCCTTGCTCACAGAGAGCCTTCCATCAAAATCCTACTGCGAGCACAAGACATTTTCTGAGAGGAGTTCCCAGCCTTGGAGAGCAGTGTGGGCACCAGCACAGTCTGAGCACTCTGAAATTGTTTTAAACTGCTGCTGCTCCCAAATTCAGCGGCTTTTCCTCCCTGGTTCCTCTGCAGTGCAAGACTTTGCAAGCAGGAGTCTGCCACATGACAACCCGAGATAGGTTTGTCTGGAGGGATTGGAGCATCTGAGGGGAGAGAGCTTTTTGTCTCTTTTTTATTTATAATCCCCTTTTGCTTTCAGCAAAATTCAATGAAATGGCAAATGAGCTGATGAAATTCTGGTTTGCGGTCCCACTGCGAATCCAAGGATAGCTCTCTTGCCCTCAAGTAAAGCAGAGGAAATGGGAGCAGTTTTTAGTTAAAAACATGTAATCGAGCTTAAACCTTGTGCAGCAGCAGATCCTTCAGGTGCTGGGGGAATTTTTATGCAAAACCTGTGGTGACTATCACGGAGTTTGGACTGTCATTGGGAAAAGGACAGTCCAGTGTGAATTCACAGGGTCACAACTTTGTTCTTTCAAAATCCCTCCTTGGCTCCTGCTGCCCTGGTGGGTGTGTGGGGTGTGTGGGGCTGTGGGGGCTCTGTGAGGGAGGTCAGGGCTGTCCCCAGCCGGCCCCGCAGCCGCCCCAGTGCCGGGCACAGCTGAGCCCTCAGAGACACCGGAGCTGCCGCTGTGCCAGGGGTGGGAAACGGGAAAAATGGTACCTGGGAATATGGAGTGAGGGGGCAAGTGTGAGGTGTGAGCCCCGGGGAGAGAAGGATGAGGAGGAGGAAAAGGAGGAAGGGCTCCCGGTGTGGAGCAGGGATTCCAGGCAGCCCTGGAGGACCCCAGGCAGGAGCAGGTGGGTCTGTCCTGAGGGGACTCGGGCTGGAGCAGGGGAAGTGTGAGGAGGAGGGAGCCACAGAGAGGAGCCCTGAGGTACAAACTGTGACCCCCTGCTCCCCCTGTGTCCCCACTGCTCGGGGAGAGGAGGCTGAAGAGCTGGGAATGACGGAGTGGCACTGAGCCTGGGGAAACGGGCCAGATGGGATGACAGGGTGGTTTTAGTTTTGTCTTGTTCTCACCACCCACTTCTATTTTAATTGGCAATTAAATGAATCTTCTCCAAGTCAATTCTGGTTGACCATTGATGTCCAAATAAGTGGCCTCCCTGTCTTTATCTTGATTCAGGGCCTTTTCCATCTCGTTTTCTCCCCAGTTCCGCTAAGCCCTGGCAGTGAGGGAGGGCTGGGTGCTGGTCTGGGTGCAGCCAAGGCCAACCCTCCACTCTTGCTTTGGCAAATAGTGTCCCATGTCTCATTCTGTGCCTCGTCCTGAAGTTTGGATGTTTGAGATATTTGCATTGTTTGACTTTTTATTTAACCTTTCTCATCAATATTTGTCATAAAAATGAAGTTGTATTCAAATTCCAGGGCTAGCAATGGTTCTTTTTTCCTGTGGTGTTCTGGGATTCAATCTCAGTGAATGCCCAGAAAGGAAGGATCTCCTCGAGGTCCTCTGGCAGCCCTATCTTCAAGCTGGTGTGTGCTTTGAGACCACTTAGGAGATTGTATAGTCAGAAAGAGCTTAGGTATTGGCCAGGTTGTGAGAGACTATGGGATTATTTTTCTTCCTTTAAAAATAATGACCCAATACAAGAAGTCTATAGAGTGACTTTAAACAATTATGCAAAATGCTTTATATTCACTTCAAGTCCATTGTCATTGTTTTTTTGTAGTCTATATCCCTGTCTGTAATCTTTTCTGAAAGTGTAATGCAGTTTTTAAAGAGGCAACAGAAATGAAATGTAAAATCAAAATGTGAGAGCACACAGGTAAGTGAAAAGTCTGCAGCAGCAGTAACTTGAGGAGCAGGTAGGGAATACAGAACAGATTGTCTGCAGAAAAACCTTTCACTTGCAAATATATTGTTCAGAGATGTCAAAATCTGAAAAGTTTACTTAGCAATTGCAAGTTTTTGGTGAAGATCTCTTAATCGTGTATTTTATCCTGTGATTTGTGCAAAGTGAATCTAGTGGACTCAGAGAAGGAATTCGAAGCAAAGTCTCAAACCTTTGTGCTTTGAGACATTTTTCTCTTTATTCCAGCTTTCCTAGATATTTTCAACCCTTAATGTAAAGTGAGACAGGATTATTGACAGCTACTGTTCAATTAAAATTATCCTTAGCTATACTGTTGGTGCAGCTCATATACTGTATGACAGTCCTGGTACTTAGTAAGAAATGTTATAGTTTGGTTTTTCTACACTTTTGCAGTAGACTGAGGTTGAATATTCTGCAAGTATTCAGTGCTAAGCATAAAGATGTACTCAATACCTGAAACCACTTTTCCAGCAGAAGAGCCTTTAGAGATCCTGGGCTATGATGAGGAGGATAACAAGGTCTCTATTGCTGCTGCTCAGATTGTGAAACTGGGTGTGCATTTGATTGATCACAAAAAGTTCACATCCAGAGTGTTTTGTTTACCTCCTACATCCCCAGTTAGCCTGGTCAAAACCTCTCCATCCTCTTGAAAGTGCGTATTCATAAGATTTGTGTATGAATTAGAGTCACACAAATATAAAACTTGATAAGTTTTTCCCCTTAGATTGAGAGACATTTCTTCCCAAAATCTGTAAACAAGCCAATAACATCAAAACATCTGAGGGCTCTGTTCCAAAGTGGACACTCATAATGTGCTTTTTATTATTTTTCTTTTCCCCCCAGTGAAATTTGATGACTGCAAGGGGAATAACCAGTTGAACTTCGAGGTTTCTAACCCCGACTTTAGGGTGGAAGGCGACGGGTCTTTGGTTGCACTAAAGAACCTCTCAGGAGCTGGCACAGCCTTGTTCGTCCGCGCTCGCTCCGAGCACGCTGAGGATACGGCGGAAATTTTCATCGCTGGAGCAAACGAAAAGCACGGGGCACTAAAGGTGAGAGAAACATAAAAGACTAAAAACAAGGACCAAGGAGATGCTGCTAAATATATACGTGTGCCACCTAGGATTGTAAGCAGTTTTAATCTGTTTGCAGAGATCAAAATCATTTTTCAATCCAACTGTTGCTGTTACAGTTTAATTCAAGATGCGAATTTTCCGGGTTTTCAAAGATGTGTTACATCTTCAGGTGCAGATGCTAAACATTCCTGTAGAATTGATTCAAATGACAGAGCCCAAGTACAAAATTGACTGGTTCTTCTGGTGTATGTTGTGCCAGGTAGCTACAATTTGGCCATAACTGAAAATGTAAAATCATAGTTTAAATGTAGAATTTAGAATTTACAGAACCTTCACGTTCACTCCAAGTCTAAGTATGTGGGAATGAATTCTATGCTGTGAAATTTAAATTTTCATGTAGGTCTGCTTATCTGACATTGTTATGTGTTAAACTGTATAAACATCTACACAGATAACAGCACATATTTACACTATCTCTTTGCACTGGTGATTTTTGTTCTGCTCTGTCCACTGTGTCTTTTCATTTCCACTTCTGAATGTCAGTGTAAAACAAACCTCATGCTATGGGGCAAAAAGTGCTTCACAAATTGATTGAATTGTTTTCTTCACACCCAGGAAAGTAACAAAAGGAAATGTGAGATAGCCTTCACTTCTGTGTCTTGGCATTTAGGAGAGAGGTAGGAAGGGCAGTGGCTTACTAGAAAATTAAGCCTGGTACCTTTACAGACCTATAATTTCACAGAAGCATAAAGAAGCCACGATAAAAATGATTGATCTGTTGTCTTGATTTGGTATTTAGATGTTCTGTTGCCAGCATTCTCGTTATTTTTCCAACAATATGTTAGTATAACTGAAGTCTTCCATTAAAAAAAAAAACAAATTAGCTTTAGGGGAAAGGTTGAACTAACTTCTGAAAGTCTGTGGCTGAGGAAAGGTTTTGCTCTGCACTTTAAGCAGCACGTGATGTGAATATAGATTGCAAGCAGGAGAGAAAGTACCAGAACATGGAACTGCAGAAGGCTGATCAGAACACTGAAATGTTTAATTTTATTTAAATATGCTGTTTCTTCACAAAATTAAATTTTGACACAGTCATGCTTGAGAGAGGCTCTTAGGTGGAGGAGCTGTGAGTTTAGGACCACAGACTGCCAAATTCAGAGCAGGAAAGCTACACTTGTAGGAACAAGCTGGGCACTTGGCTGTCCTGTGCCTCAGGCTAGCAAGGCATGATCCTTCTGGTGTATTCACAAGAACATTTAAATTATTCTGTTTCCACCTCAGGTTCTGAAATCTTAGGAGCAGTTTCAAAATCGGGATTCTCCTTCTCCAGTTAGAAGTTACAGAAACCACAGAGAGGTTTGAGACATCTCTGACAGGAGGTCTGGAGTTAAACTTCAAGGGATTGGTTTATGTGTGAAGATCTGACTCTCTGAGAATCATATTCTGAAGCTTTATTCTGGTTTTCTCAGGGAAGCAGCCCTTCAGTGTCTCTGAGGGGAGATGTTCTATGGAAGTTCTAAACTAGGGGAAATCATGTCTCATGGGTAGGAGTTAAAAAATATGTATTTGCACAGACCATGACATAGCTTTGCCAGTGACCTTTACGTCCTGTTTGGGTTCTGGGTTTTCTCCCCTCAAATTGTTCCAGCAATATTAATTAATGCCTAGTGTTGAGATCTATCTGCAGACTGCATTTGAAAGCCAAGTCTGATTTGGCCCCACTCCTGGATTCTGTTCCAACCACTTTCTGTTGCTTCAGAGAGAGAAAACCAGCCTAAATCTGGCATATTCTGCCACTTGCCAGTCTTCCCTCACAGGTGACTCCTCAAAGCAGTATATCACATCCTCTCTACCTGCATTTGTCACATTTTTAAGGATTTGATATTCAGCTCATAAACAGTTGATTACCCTTTTAGGATGGTGATCCTTGGTGTTTGAAGTGCCATTGGTAGTTACATGAAGCATTACTGTGCCCTGGGAAACCCATCTAGTGAGGATCATCCCCTTCTTCAAGGGAATATAAAGGTCTTTGAGGCTGGTTGTCCTGCTCTGGCCTCAGCCAGCACTCTGTAGCTCTTAAACCAGTATTTTTTCCCCAACCTTTTCAGCTACTTGCCTGTTTTAAACACAACACAGACAGTGTTGTCTTTCTGTTTGTCATCCTTGAGAAGGATATAAAGACTACAGCCTCCTATCTAAAGTGATTTTATGAAAAATTTGAACTTAATCCTGTACTTTTGCAGTCTAAATGTGTCAGCATGGAAACAGCAGAACTGCTCCATCTGTTTATGCAAGGAGCCTTGGCTAAGAAATGCTCAGATGGAGCCTTAGTAATTCAGCATATTTCTGTAGGGTTAAGATGAGCACATGCTAGAGCACTGCTTAGCATTCAGTACTTAGAGTACAGTACCTTGTCTAATTAGGGGATAAGTAGTTCTTAAGTATTTCCCCTCTGCCAGCAACTGCCATTTCTTTTCTGAAAGCATGTAACCTACATCTGTGAAATCCCATTGTTAATGTTTCTAATTGCAGATTCCCAACGTGTTTGGAAATGGCTCTCAACAATGATCTCCGATGTGCTGACTGGCAGTCTGAGCCAGAACAGAGCATAGTTCCTAAAACTTTCTGATTGCTACCAGCCATACTTTAGAGGAATATGGGAGTTATTTAGAGGTGCAATCTGGAGTGTGCAGAAAAGCTTCTGGTATTCTAGGGGTGAAGAGGTGTGGTTCTTTCCTACTAAAGATGGGGGAAGATTCCAGCTGGCCTCACTGATCAGTCCTATGTGATTAACTTACATTAACTTCGAGGCCATAGTATAATGAGTGGCTGTTAGAATAGCACTGTTTAACTCCATTATTTTCATCTAAAGGACACATTTCCTTACCCTTCTACCACAAGCACAATAGATGTGCAGAGCCTGCAGCTTTCTAGCAAAGGGTGGCCGTGACTGCAATATGGCAAGAGAGGTGGTTCCTCAGCATCATCAGCCAACTTGGCTGTTGCTCTCTGATCACACAATGTTTTGCAGGGTCTGGTGACAGAAGAACAAATACAACACTGCTACTCTTCCTGATGTCTGATATTACTACAAAATAACCTAAACCCCATGAATCTCTGTACCTACAGATATGCAGACATGCTACAGAGCAAAAATCTGTCCATCAGATTCCAGTTAGATTGCTTTCTGCAACCTGCTGGTTCACCCCTTCCTCCTATGATTTTGGCCAGATATACTGGTCTCTGTCTGTCTTGGCAGAAGAGAGTATTCCCAAAAATCTACAGTCATTTCTGAGGGGCATGTAGAGTGTGAGTGCAGAGAAGAGCTGCCCTGAGCTTGTGGAATGTGTAACATCACTCTTTAATAGTTATGTGTGTTCACACTTGGACCCTCAGGCAATCAGAGCGCTCAGTGAAAGAAGGGAAGTTCCCTTGCATTCCCCATGGAGTGGAGCTGGAGAGCTGGGAACATCTGTGCTCCTGCTCTGCTCTGCCCAGTGCTCACTGGATACAGCCCCACACAGCCGGGACTGCAGTGCTTGGTGATATTAAAGAAATGTTTTGATTCACCCAGGATTCCCAAAATGAACTTTGGGTGCATTCTGAATAATTCATAGAATCGTTAAGCCTCAAATCCTGAATGGAAAAATAAAGCACTCACAGCCCTAGCTGGGAACAAACAGGCTGAGCCAATGACTGGCAGCAATATTTATTTATATTTTTGGCATCTGTCTTGTCCAGTCCTTGATCCCGACTTTATTTTATGGACGTAGGAGGACAACTGAAAGCTGGAAATTTCATCACATTTGGACATTTTTTCAGACATTAGTAGATTTATGTATTTATTAAAGGAGCCAGTTTTTGTGGAAGACAGAAAGTATAGCCAGCCTTTTGTAGAGCCTCATAATAAATGGGGAGTTCCAAAAGGTAGCAAGCTGAGAGTTGAACTGTGTCCTCTAAGGCTAAATAAAGTGGTTGTCTGCTGGTCCTTCTCCCCCTCTGAAATCTAATGCAGGTTTTAATGAACATACCCTTAGTATACCGGGAGCTGAAAGAAAGCCTTGGGAAACAGTCTGTCTCTGCCTTTTTCTGTGTGTTGGCAGGTTTTTTTTTCCTTCTTTTTCCTTCCCCACAGCAGAGGGAGTTATTTAGGACCTTTATTTGTTACACCATTACAGACACAGGGTGAGGGGTGGAGGGAAGTGAGATATCAAGAGTCTGGCACCAAAGCAGACAAGAGGGCAGGCAGATATTTGGAAATTCCAGGCTGGTAGTAACTTCCCTGTATGGTGCTCAGCAGTCTGCCATACAGAAGGATGAAATGATTAAATAGAAGCTGTCAAACCCTCAGGACAGTTTTTCAGGCACAAGATAGAAAAGGACTAGGAGAAAGAAAAGCAGAGATAAGAGTGAGGAGCACACCCTGAGACAGCATGCTGTAGACAGAGTTTAAAACCACCTCCAGCAGCAGCTCAGATTGAAGGAAATGGAGTTGCCCTCGTTCTGCTACTCTGTCCAGTGCACTTTGTACCAGGCAGGGGCTGGGCAGACAGGCTGCTGCTGCTTTTTCCCTTTGTCAAACCGTTGCTTTTCCCGACTGTGTTTATTGGAGCAGGGACAGGAGCCTCAGCAACCTGGCCAAAAACTTCCTCAGCCGCCTTGCAGCCCCAAATTCTGATTCCTCCCGAGTCGCAGCCTGGATAGAGATGTTTGTGTGAGTCGCTTTCTGCCTGTGCCTCTGTTTCCTGAAGTATCAAACAGAAATAATGAAGCTAAGCTCCTTGGATTTAAATGTTAGCATTTCTTATTTGTGCCTTGCTCTCTGCTTTATCCCCAAAGGATAGAGATTGCAAATATTATGGATACGAGATAAAAAGCGCCCGGAGCCACAAATCCTACATGTGTGGCTTTCTGCCTTAGAACCGCTGATAACGGATCAATAATCTTATTATGAATCAGGATTCTCTCATGGAAAA